TATGTGTCGAAATTTGATGGTTCGGGAGTAATTTATGTCGATTTTGACTTTTATCCATGTCTGCTATTTACAATTATAAAACACTTGTTTAACATACATTATAAATATTTTTTTAAAAATAAATAATTATTTCATTTGTTACCAATTTGTCACATATGATACATTACATTAGTCATATTTGATGTGTTCTTTAGTTTGAAATCTGAATTTCATTTATAATATATATATATATATATATTAACTATAAATAATAATACAAGTTTTAAGAAGTATTAAGTTTTTAATATATTTTATTGTTTTAATTTTATTTATTTATTAAATACAAGGTTTTAAATAGCGGACTAAAACGTTTATGGCACTGTAGCTATAGCGGAGCTATAGCAGAGATTTAGCGGGATTTAGCGGTTAAATTGCACATGAATACAAATAGCGGCACACTACCAAAAAGAGCTATTTCTCAAATAGCGGCAACTTTAGCAAGCTATTTATTTCCTTGATTAAATATAATGTTTTTAATTAACACACGCTTAAGTAACAGTGTTGTACCACTACTGGTAGCCGAGAGGTTCGTGTAATGAGGTAGGCATAACTAACTAACTAACTACTAACTAAATCGTATAGTTAAGCCTTCAATCTCATTAACTAATTAAAAAAAAAAAAGCTTCTGTTAAGCTACAAACATATAAAGAATAGGAAAATGTTAAGGTCCCGTTACGGAACTATGCCGTTGAGGTTTGTAACCGTTAGATCATCATGTAACCGACAATGATAGTTAATATAACTGTTACAAACCCTGACGGAATAATTTCGTAACGGGACCGTAGCATTTCCAGAAAGAATAATCAAACAATGTCAACAACATATCTTGAAAAACAAAAAAACATAGTTTGCTAGTTGGCCAACAAAAAAAACCTATTCTCCTTTTCCCTTTCTTCATTTTTTATTTTTCCTTCCAATGACCTATAAAACGTCATAGTTTCTCAAATACACACCACAAAAACAAAGAAAAACAAACACAATCCAGCAAAAAAAAAAAAAAATGTCACTTAAAATTAGCAACATACTCGTTTGCATCGTGCTGGTGAATAGTGCCGCCGCCCAATATTCACCTGGCGACTGCACAATGGCGCTCGTGAGCCTGTCACCGTGTGTTGCTTACATCAGCGGGAACTCGTCGGCCCCATCCGCGCCGTGCTGCTCTCGGCTGTCGGGTGTTGTCCGGTCACAGCCACAGTGCCTCTGCGGCCTCCTCAAGGGCGGGACCTCCAATTTCGGCATCTTAGTGAATCGGACTACGGCCCTTGCCCTCCCGAGCGCGTGCCGCGTGGAGACACCCCCCGTCTGCCAGTGTGATGGTAATATATATTACTAATATCATATCCTTAATATCATATCCTTCTATGTATATGCAGACTGTTCCGATTCTATGTGTCGATTTCAGGCGTGCTTTGTAGTCTATGTGTAGAACTTTGGTGCTTCGTAACCCTATGTGTCGATTTGTAATGCTTCAGAGTAGTTCATGTAGATTTGAATTCTATCCATAGAATGTCCGACTTCTGGTGCTTTGTAATTCTATGTGTCAAATATGGTGTTTCGTAATCTTTGTGTCGAGTTTTGTTGCTTCATAGTAAGACCATATAGATTTGGATTCTATCCATACCTTTTTGACTTCTCCTGTTTCGTAGTCCATGTGTCGAATTTTGGTGTTTCGTAATCACGTGTCTCGATTTTTTATATTTCGGAGTAGTCCATGTAGAGTTGAATTTAATCATTACCTTGTCCGAACTCTATGTATCGAATGCTGATGTTTCGTAACTCTATTTGTTATTTTCTGGTGCTTAGGAGTAGTCCATGCAGATTTGAATACTATCCATACCTTGTCTGACTTCTGGTATATCGAAATCTTATGTGTTAAATTCTGGTGCTTCGTAATCCTAAAAGTCGATTTCTGGTGCTCGGAGTAGTCCATGTAGATTTTGATTCTACCCATACCTTGTCGACTCTGCTTTTCACCATCCTATATGTGATATTCTGGTGTGTCTCGTAAAATTGTGTCGATTTTTGGTGCTTCGGATTAGTCCATGCAGATGTAGATGTTATCCATACATGCTCACTTTTAAAATTATAAAACGTTTGACTAACTATTTTCTAAATATATTTAGAAGTTAATAATTATTTTATTTGTTATCGTTTTTCTATATAATATATCGAACTAATATCATAGTAACATTATGCTTACAATCATGCATGTGTGAGTAATTCGATCGAAAATTTCGCAGCGGTGAATGGGCCGGCGATGTCCGCCCCTGTGCCGTCCGGTTCGCCTGTCGATGGGCCCCCAGAAGATCCAAACCCATCATCTAATACCGATCCAAACCCATCGTCTGACACAGATACATATACGACTCCACCTGGTATAATAATTATTTGAAACTGAATTGTACATAAGAAGACTGCTGAATTTACTTAATCAAGAATGCAAAACAACACTTTGGAAGTTTTCTTGTTTGTTTATGGTGATTCTACTTAAATTAATGTGTATGTATTACTATGAAGAGATAAATTTTATTATGATTTAGATGCAGGGAGAGAGTCTAAAACAGTTGGTGGCACAGATGGGTCCTCTGTTGGAGGCAGCAGCAACACTGTTAATGGAGGGATTTTTAGTTTGATGGGTTGTTTGATTTTTCTTCTTCTTCTATGGTGAAAGCTCCGGTCAGCTCCTACATAGCCGTAGCGGACATCAATTTTTATTCGTTCTTGTGATGGTCAAAATGCGGCAGAACGTGCAGGCTTTAGTTGGCTACTCTCTGGTGGTCGGGACGACGGATAAAAGTGGGCGCTGTGGTCGTTGGAAATGTTTCCGATATTGAGGACTTAATTTTAAAATTTTATAATCCCAACGACTTAGTTGCAATTTAAGAAAATTTAATATATTGCAATTTAGTTTCTAAGTAAAATTTATAATTTATCAAAATTTTAATAAATGCACAATGATACTAAGTAAAATGAACAATATGGTTTGTTATCTGCACATTAAAATAATTGTACTGTTTAATGCGCAATAGCGTTAGACTAAATGTACATTAATGCTTGCGAGAATCTACATTGACGTAACAGTGTATTACGCGCATTGACGAAAGTACCCCTACAATGCCACCGCCCCCTTGACCAAAGCTAGACCATTTGCCAGTGTTTTGAGCGTTGATATAATATATCCGACCGCTATGGTTTATTCATTAATTTGTGTAAGATCATTTGCTCATACTAAACAATTGAGTTTAAGTCATTTTCTAGTTAAAAGAGAGAATTCTCGAATAATTTGTGTAAGATCATTTGCTCATACTAAACAATTGAGTTTAAGTCATTTTCTAGTTAAAAGAGAGAATTCTCGAGTGACGGTCGACGTCGGCGTCGGCGTCGGCGTTACTATTAGTTTCAGAACTGCACATTCAGTTAATACTATTAATTTAACAAATCATAATATATAATATCATTAAGTGCATTGTATATAAACTATATGTATTGACTTTGATAATAAATATTGACTTTTGATAAAAATAACAGAAAAGATGTATTCTTCACAAGAAATACATACTTATACCGGAGATTTTATTTATATTATATTTTAAAATATTATTATATTCAAATATAAAAGTATGTACATCAACCATATCTATAATATATATATATATATATAATTACTGGCTATTAAATTAATAATATTCCTAAAAACTTTTCGCTCATTTTATTTTCATCTAACTATGAAAAACTAACCGTTACAATTACATTAACTATAACTTTACTTCGTATAATAATTACTACTAATATTAACTAATTATAAATTTATGATAAAAGGTTAATGGAAGTTACAAACTTATTAATAAAATCATAATCCAGCTATTTATTTTGAAATAAATAGTATCTTTTTAGTTTTATCACATTAGGCAATTTTTTAAGTATCTAATTAATTTTAATCACATAATCAATCACTTATAATTGCTATGATTATATAACAAGTTAGTTATATTAAAAATACTCAACCTAATTACAAACCTTCACACTTTATACACGGCAGATTAAGCATGAAGAATATCCTAATTCGAGGGAAATGTTACGGTCCCGTTACGGAATTATTTTGTCAGAGTTTATAACCATTAGATCATCGTGCAACGGGTCCCTAATTCTATTCCCAAATTCCCAAATTGTGAAAATTAGAAACTCTTCCACCTAATCTCTTCACACAATTTTCTCAGCAAAACTTGCTATCTTTTGGCATCTTCGTAAATCCATCTCTGCAAGAATTGTGTGCCCTCGCATTTATTTTGATTTGACGCTTCGAATTTCCGTACACTCCATTTCCTCTTGTGACCAAGAAACTGTGGGGACGGAGGAGCTCAGCCGCGGAACTGAACCTTTTTCATCACCGCTCCATCTTGGGTTCGTTGCATCTGAAGGATTTTGATCGGATTCTTTTTTTTTTTTGTGCTCAGGTGTGTTCTGTTCTCGCTTTTAATTTGGGAAGTTGTTGCTCGCTTGAATTCAGATATTGTTTATCTCGTCTCGCGATTGAGGATTTTATGCTGCATTTTTGTGCGGATTAGGTGCGTTTTTGTGGATGATTGCGTGTTAGGGTTCTTTTCAGTTGTGTTGGGTCTCGTGATTGTGCCTCCTTTTCGATGTGTGATGATGCGATTGTGCTTTTTTCTTTCTTTTTTTTTTTTTTTTCGTTATGTGAAAAATGCACATGGATTCTCATTCGAATTGTGTTGAGCTGTTTATTTCTGTGTTTCTTGAATTGTGTGCTTCAGTTGATAGATGTGTCCAATTAGAGGTTCTCCTCATTGTTTCTGTTTTCTGATTACTGTTTCTATTTTGAATGGATTATGGGGGAGAAGGTTAATGAGAACTGTTTTAATGTGCTATGTGGATAGCATCAGTCTATAATAACAAACCCATGGAAAGTGAAGATGGATGCATAAGTTGAGAGAATAATTATATCAAGAAAATCATCTGTTTATAAACTAGACGGTGTACTCAATGCTTGAGAGTTGGATAATTGGGTAATCGATGACAAAATTGTTGGGTAGTGATCTCGTATGCGTATAGAACAGTTGGTGCCTATGATCTTATTGATGACTTCTAGGTGAATGACCTCACTGACTCATTTCGCACTTCCATTCGTTTCCTATTTTTACATTTCTTATTTCTATTTATGGATGACATTGTTATCACTCCATCTGAATTAGCAACTGAATCATATCTTTTTCGCATTTAATTGTGCTTTAAGCTGATGATGACTTTTAGTGATCGAAATTTGATGTAAAGAAAAAAGGTGTGGCAAGGTTGCATGTTGTTGTCTAGAGCTTTGCTTTAAGAAAATGCTGCAGAAGTACAAATTATGATTTATGTGCAATCTGTTTACAAACTTCAGACTGAAATAATGTCGATCAATCTACTGTTGTTATCTTCAACTGGCTAACTTTTTACTAATCGATTCTTCTTTTATGGAGATCTTCCTTTTCCATGTCGAGATCAATGTCCAGAAGACCTCTAGACCTAATCAATGTGAAAATTACTTTGTTTTCTTAGTATGCTTTATATTGAAAGGTAATGCAGCTAAATATGTTATGGTTTTAAATCTCGGAGTGTCTAACTTTAGATGCCTTGCTTGGTTTAGTTCATTGAGGAGAATGGACCCCTCATTCTTAATATGCTTGGATAGGTTTATCTATGTAGAGTATTTATGTGTTTCAGAGATTATGTGCATGGTTATTATCTTCTAATAAACAATTACGTTATACAAGAAAATGCATTGAGGGTTTCCAAAAAGAACTTCAGCATTTAGAAAACTTGAGCTGTACTTTTATGCTCTAAAATTTTTAGAGCAGGAAGTGGCTAATCATTGTTTCTGTGAAGGAAAATAATTTCTTTAGTACAGCTGTTCACATGGTATGTGAGTCTTTATCTCGTAATATGCCGATCTGTAGTTAGTAGTCTATTTTCTTTCTCTTGTAATTGCCCCTATCTTGCCCAATTTCCCACTGTCCACAAAGAAAGATTTAATAGCTGGGAAAGCTCTTAATTAGCGAGGTACCAAACCAAGGGTCCTCTTACTGTTAGGAAGGGTCAATTTTAGATCGAAATCCAAGTCACAAGATACGAGCCATTTCCACTATTTTTCTCCAGATCAAGATCAATTTTTTAAATAATCAACACTGGACTCTCAATGATAGGTAATGGATGAAATTTTTTCTGCAGTGTAACTTTTCCCCATGAGTCGAACTGGTGTGACCTGAAGTAGGTCCTCTATATGATCTTTGTTGAATATCATCTGCCATTTCTTCTCATAAATAACCCCGAACCTGTCATTTATTGTGCATTAATTGTTAACTTGCACACACACGAAGCCCATAACTTTTCTGTTCGACCATACCGAATCAGGTGGGGATATTCGGCATCTTACCAGAAACTAGCTGGTGCCGATTTTATTCTCATTGAACACAGACAATTTAGGCTCATTTTAGGTGGCCGATAAACACATTGCGCACATCATACTATTTATTTCTCGTGATTCACGCCCTCCATGAGGGCCCTCTTATTTTCCTCTATATAATGAAAGCTCATCCCTTCACTGAATCTTTCAGATGTTCCATCTTGAATCCAATTTCCGAAACTGAATAAAAAACCAAATTGGCCCTGACAATGTCCGGACTCATCGAGGGCCTTCCAGATGCCGTTGCCTTAAGGTGCCTCGCTCGGGTCCCATTCCACCTCCACCCCAAACTATCCCTCGTCTCCCGTTCCTGGCGGGAGGCTTTCAACAGCACCGAGCTCTTCCGGGCCCGCCAGGAAATCGGCTCGACCGAGGAATTCATCTCCGTTTGCGCATACGACCCGGACAATCTCTGGCAGCTCTACGACCCGTTACACGACCTCTGGCTCACCCTTCCTGTTCTCCCGTCAAACATCCGCCACCTGGCGCACTTCGGTGCCGTCTCGGTTTCCGGTAAACTCTTTGTCCTCGGTGGAGGCAGTGATGCAGTTGACCCGTTGACCGGCGATCAAGACGGATGCTTTGCGACTGACGAGGTTTGGTCCTACGACCCGGTGGGCCGGCGTTGGGCCAGTTGCCGGCCCATGATCGTCCCACGGGCCATGTTCGCGTGCTGTGTTCTTGACGGGAAAATCATTGTTGCCGGTGGGTTTACCGATTGCCGAAAATCGATATCGAAGGCTGAGGTGTATGATCCCGATCGAGACGTGTGGGAAACGATGCCCGATTTGCACCACACGCATAACTCGGCTTGCACAGGCTTGATAATCGAGGGAAGGGTTCATGTTTTGCATAAGGGCTTTTCGAGCGTGCAGGTTTTGGAGAAGAATGTGATGAGTTGTTGGGGTTGGAAGGTGCACGATTACAGCTGGCTGCAGGGGCCGATGGCTGTTGTGAGGGGGAAATTGTATGTGATGGGCCACCACGGGCAGATATATAGGCAGGAGAGGGACTCGAGCAAGGTGGTGGTTTCGGCTTCTGAGTTTCGGAGGAGGATCGGGTTCGGAATGGTTGGGCTTGGGGACGATATCTATGTGATAGGAGGGGTTATTGGGCCCGATAGGCTCAACTGGGATATAAAGTCGACGTCGGATGTGGATGTGTTGGCGCTCGGGAGCGAACGGTCAGCGTGGCGCCAGGTGGCGCCGATGACGAGGTGCAGGGGGACTGTTCTTGGGTGTACACAGTTGAGGATTTAGTACTAGTAGTAATGTTGTTCTTGATTTTCTTTTTTGGAATTAATATGTAATGGAGTTTGTGAGGATATAAGCCTGAAAAAGGAGGATAATGATGGGTTTTGAGCATTTGGGCATACTTTTTTTTTTTGGTTGTCCAGTACTTGAAATAGATGAGATAGTATATTGGCATCAGCTTGTTTCTTGAAAATGTTCTATGGATTGGATGTCATCATCTATGTGAGTTTTTTTTTTTTTTTTTTTTTTTTTTTTTTTTTTTTTTTTTTTTTTTTTTTTTTTTTTTTTCTAAATAAACTGTAATTGCACTGTGTTTGAGACTTTGAGTTGTTTCTAAATCTAATGTTCATCTGTTTGGGTTCTGCTGTTAAGTGTTAATAGAGATGGTGGATCCTTGTTAGTATGCTAAACAGTTTTGTGTTATTTTCTACTTACATGTATCACTGTGAGAGGATTATTGATTTTTTAACCTATGATATTAGTAGTAATTGTAATAATAATTAATGTTAAAATGCTAAAATTTTTTAAGTTATTTATTTTTAACTCATAGCCATTAAAATATAAAGTGAATGAATAAGTATCATGTTTAATAAATTTTTGTAAATTTAATAATACATTTTTAAAGAATGGTGATAACAATATGGTATGAATTGGTTGAGGTTATTGGATATAAGTTATTTTGGATTTGATTGGATTTGTTGGAATAGAATTAATTTTGAAAAAGTTGATTGAGCTAAGTTAGAGCACCCACAATGCTTTGGGTTTCTTAGAAAAAAGTTATATGCCATGTAAGGAATAGACCTAGTCTATAAAAAAGTGTTCTCCAATGCAATTAAAAGTGGAACTAGTCTAGCTTATGTGGCAATAAAAAAATGAGACCTAGTCCACACTTGGGTCTATTTTAGACTCAAGTACAAACCCAAGCACTCATCATTTATTCCTCATTTAATTTTTCTTTTAATAAATGAAATATACAAGAGCATTTTTATTGGTTGTCATGTATTCTAGACCTAGTACTTTTTGGTTTTGCATTGGATAGATTTTGGTTTTTTTAGTTTAGGTTTGTCCATGTCATTATGGACTTAAGTCTATTTATTTGCCACATATGCAAAAAGAGACCCAAAGCATTGTGGATGCTCTTAGTGAGACTTTGAGTTTGTATTATAATAATAATATTTAAAAATGATTAATTTTAATCTGATGTAAAATCAAAAGATAAGTGGTTGAAACTTGGAAGTGATGGATAAATAAAATTATGTGAATAATGAATTAAAATTTATATAACGTGTTAATATAAATGATTGATATTATTTAATTATGTTCATAATATTGAAAATTGTTGAATTGGGTAACATTTTGATTTAAATAAATTAGCTTGTCCCCAAATCTATATATATATTAAAGCAGAGCAGCTGAAATTTTCCCGCTCAAACCTGCTGCATTAATTACTGTATTAATGGTAAGATAATTTACTTTCACATTATTTGAGATATGTCTTAATATTTATTGTACTGTAGTTTAATTAACTTTAATCTTTATATATTAATTGCAATCTTAGGAATTTGTGAATACACATTAAAATAATATATGCAAAAAAAAGTTTGTTACAAATAAATGTTTAAATGTTATTCTTAATTATGCATTGGAAAAGTGCACTTCAATTTTCATGGATAAATAATTGGCTTCAACTATATCTATTACTTAACATTTTGTTAACTTCTATGAATTATTTATTATACATACAATAAATGTAATTATTTGTTACAATTAGAGACTTATTTTACAATTAATTATATATTGTGAATTTGCATTTAAATTTTCCATTAGATTCTCTCTCTCTCTCTCTCTCTCTCTCTCTCTCTCTCTCTCTCTCTCTCTCTCTCTCTCTCTCTCTCTCTCCCTTCGTTAGTAACATTGTTACAAATAAGGACTTAATATTGTACGAAATTATTTATTTTGAATTTATATTTGAATATATATATATATATATATATAAGTGAAATAACTTTGAGGGAAAAAGTCTTTTAGAAAATACATTAAATACGAGAAATAAGTTATGTCACCTTCTACATATGATCACTCATTGAAATAATAATTATAATATTTTATTATACAAAATAAATATATTATTATGCATTGGAAGATTGCACTCCAATTTTCGTGGCCAAATAAATTTTAAATTAATTTGTTAATCCTTATGAATATAACTCAAATAACAAAATATAATTATTTTTTATGACGATTCATTTTTATAAATAATTATTTAGCGTGAATTTTCATTCCAATTATCAATTTTTTTTTTTTTGATCTTTTTTGTTATTTTCTTCCTTTGTAAGTAACATAATTCTTTGGATAAGAAAACTTTATATTATTTTCTACAACACCCCAGAGTTTGCATTCGTGTCATAATATTGACACACACACATAAACATACATACACACACACACACACACACATATGAAGTAACGTAGCTTGGAGGTGAAAAATCTTTTCCTTCCATAACTACATTAATTGCCTATAATTAAATTTTCTCACTTTTATGTATGACCTATTATTAAAATAATAATTAAATTATTCTTTACAGATAAATAAATAATTATATATATAAGTATGCATAGAGAACTTGCAGTACTCTAATTTTGATGGAAGAATAAATTTTAAAATTATTTGTCATAAGTAATGTAATTTATTTGACTAAAAGGGATAAAATTTTTATAAAAGTAAAATAAAAAGTATCATCTACAGATATTGGTACTACCATTCATATCTATGTGAAATGTATCTCGAAAATAGTGAGTAACCTCTTTACTTCGACATAACAGTTTAACTGAACTTAGGTTTTTTTTACTAAGATCAATCATAAATATGGAAAAAAACAAAAGAAAATAAAAAAATAAGACAACTTAGAATAGAACATAACATCAAATTTTGATTATATTATAGGTAAAAAAAACTACATAGATATTTCAAACTATTATTAAAGAAAATAGAAATGACAAAATAAATTGAAAGAGTTAGAGGACATCAGAGAGGTGCACCTCATAATTGTCAAACTGAAAAGAAAATTTATATTGATTTTGGTCTGAATTGTTTAACTAAAAAATAAAAAAAAATGTTTACTTTTTTTTTGTTGGTATAAGTTATTTATTTTTTTCAAAATAATGAAGAGACATTCTATACGATGTGCATAAACCTTTTGTCATCATTTTAGATTTTTTTATTGGTCCATAATTATAAAATTATAATTTCGGAGTAAAAAACATAACAAGTTAATTTATTGTTTTTTTTATTCGTATATCTATATTAATTTTATAAGAATAATGGGAAGATATTGTCTTTGTCAAAACGTTATGACAAACAAAGTTTCGCACGAAATAGTACAAATACAACAACTAATTTTTTTTTTTTTTTTTTTATCATTCATAACAAGTGTTAGCTTTACATTTTATTGTTTTAGTATTACATATTATAATTTAAGTATTTTATTCTTATTGCTTTGCAAGAATTATATCAATGTTTATTTCTAAAAATAAGTTAAATATGGTTGTCATAAATTTAGCGCAAAATAAGTGTTAGGTTATTGATCTGAACATTGAGGGTGACCCATCTTGATCGTTACCTTAATATGATTTATAAATATAAAGAAAAAAAATTTGGAAGTATATACAAAAACTAATTTGATATATATTGACAATTATATTTTTATTTTTCTACTTTTAGATGGACGTTTATTGTCACAATTTGTATACAAAGTAAAAGTTAAATGATTTAGTGCTTGAACATGACATCAAATTTGGTTTTATTTGCGAGTAAGAAATGGACTAATACTGCGAAATGATATTGGGAAATAAAAATAATAGTAATAACTAAAAGAGTGAGGGTGTCTCAACCATAAAGGAGACAAAGAGTGATAGACGATATTGACTATATAGACAGAGTAGGACAATGTATATTTATCATTCAATTATTTAATATAATGTTTGGAGTATATGTGGTCTTTTGTAATAGTTTTGGTCCTAAATCATTGAATAATTTGAGCCCAAAATATATAGTTTGTTTATTTTTTTAGTTGATATCATTTGTTTCATTTGGACTTATATTTGAGGTCATCTAAAGTTTACTAAAGTGACGGCCTACAGTTGATCTCTTTATTGATCCACAATTATGCAACTATAAATTCTGATTAATAAAATTAGCATAATGCGTTAACTATTGCTAATTGTTTGTTATTATGACACATGTTTTTTCTCTTAAGATAATTACAAGAATATATTATCGCTACTGAATTTTTGCAATAGATAAAGTTTAATACGACTTACTATAATGTATCAACTACTTTTTCTTATCATATTTTATAGTTGTTAGTGTTATCAAAATAAATTGTACTATTTTATAATTTATATAATATAATTTAAATGTCATTTTCTCATAATTTGACGAAATTATATTAATTTACATTCCACATGAGTTATGTGGAAAAAAATAAGTAATTTGTTATTGACATGAGCATTAACGATTATTGTGCATATTTGTAACTTTACATAAGGTGATCGATCTTGCACGTCATTATGAGCACCATCGGACTTATTTTGCAAATAAACGAAGTTAATATTTATTTAGCAAATTATAAAAAGTGATAGATATGTGGACTTAATTTTAAAGTAAACGCATGCGCGGTTCAAAATTGAGTCATTTTTGTATTTTTTTCTTAAGTATTTAATTTATATTTTCAATTTTAATTGACTCATATTATGTACATGTTTATTTCAACTATTATATATAGTATTAATAATATCTTTAGTTATTAATGAAAAAAATTATGTCATTATCAAAATATTTTAGGCAAAAATTTCAAGGAGTGTTATCAATGTGGCAAATACATGAATATCACAAATGTTTCTTTAAGTTGAATTTATTTAATTTGAAACTATTTATTACAAAATATATTGTATTTTATAATCACATTCATTATATGTTATTGTTTTTATAGTCATGACCTCTATTGTTTGATGATTATTATTTTATGATGATAATGGTAATAATGAATACAGTTCATCCACTAATAATGTTATATTTAGGAAAACAGTGTAAAATATAATGAATAAAATTTTCATTTTACTTTTTATTATCTCTCTACATATTTTTAAAATATTATTTATTTATTTAAATAATAATTCATTTCACCTCATGTTTTAATATCAGGCCGCGCAACGCGCGGGTGGTGTACTAGTAATTATAAACAATTAAGGCCTAGTTTTGTAACAAGGGAAATCAAATTATAATCATAAAACAATTGTAGAGAAAGCAATTCCAAGAACCTTTTTCTCCTATTCAAAATATAAAGCCCAGCCAAGCACTCTGATAAATAAGAGCCCATTATTTCCATATGGGCCTCAACATATTGAACTTGTCCTTTGAGTACCTCAAAATCAAAATCAAATCGAAATCGAAACAAAACCCTAGCTCTGCTATCCTATTTGAAAAAAAAAAAAAAAAAAGATGGAGGACGTTGAGATGGAAGAAAGTAAGCAGAAGCTGGAAATGGAGGTCGCGCCGGCGCTAATCGCAGTTCACCCAAACCAGAATTCAGTATCCGTTTCCGTCGGGTCGGATGTTCGGGTCTTCAGTCTCCAGTAAGAGAAAATAAACAATTTTCACTGTATTAGTAGTTTAAAGCTTGAATTTTTTTTATCGACGGGCATTACTAATTATTGATTTATTTTTTTTCTGAAGAGATGGGTCGAGAGTTAAATTAATCGATGATAATGGGGTGCATAAAGATTCGATTCGGGCCATTCGGTACAGTAAAAGCGGGAAGCTTTTCGTATCAGCTGGAGATGACAAGCTGGTGAAAATTTGGGATACTAATTGTTGGCGTTGTTTTTGTTCTGTGTAAGGGTTTTTTTTTGGCTGAATTCTTAGTCATTTTTCTTGTTTGTTTTTTGGTGAATAATCAAGATTTGAAGTAGTTTCGGTTCATTGAATATTCTGGGAGTTGGTGTATTTATTTATTTATTTTATGCTTAACAGGGTTTCAGAGAAGAGAGTGACTTCTGCTGCAATAAGCAACGATGAGATGTTTGTCTGTTTTGCCGACAAGTTTGGTGTCGTTTATGTCGTTGATATTCGCAATTACGATTACGAAAATCCAGCTGTGATGAATAAAAAGGCTGTCCCGATTCTTTCTCATTATTGTAGCATAATTACGAGATTGGTATGGCTTTTCTTGTTGCTCATTAATCATCATTACAAGTGTTTTCTGTTAATATTTATTAGTATAAGCCAATTTGAGTAATTCTGCATGTTGATCGATTTACATACTTTTACAATACACACCATGTAGGAATTTTCTCCAGATGGGAAATACATTGTTACTGCTGATCGGGACTTCAAAATACGTGTACCATGATTTTCCTACTCCTTAGCTGAGCTTCTCCTTCTTCTTCTTATTTCTCCCTCCTTTAGTTTATTTCTAATTTGTGCTCCTTTGCTAATACAGGTGACTGTATTTCCAAAAGAGCCCCTACACGGGGCTCATGATATTCAGAGTTTTTGTCTTGGTCATACCGAGTAAGTGCTGCTTATTGTCTATCTATTCACTAAAATAGGGAAGTAAAATTTTTCAACATATTTGCAATACGTATTACAAAATTGTTTTGTCATCATTGATTTGCATTGATGATAAATTTGTAATTGTTTAGTGATCATTTGCACTTAATCTATGTATAACCATCACCAGGTTCGTTTCATGCATCACATTTGTCAGTAATAAGGATTATACACAAGGATTCTTGGTCTCGGGAAGTGGTGATTCAACTGTGAGCTATAGAACTTAAAAGTCAACTATTCTGTGTTGATAATTAACGAAAAACAGTCTTGCTTTTATTGTTTTTGTTTTTTTTCGGTCTAACCTAATCTCCGGTGTCTAAAGGTTCGATTATGGGACTATACTTCTGGTTCTTTGCTCGATATGTGTGATGTTGGGACCAAGGTAGGTTGATCGATGAACTCAATTCTCTTAACTCAACTTGTTCTTTTTTTTTTTCAAAATAATTATTTATTGAATTTGAACAGAAACATTTTATCTGTAGTATCAGCTTCGGCTTTTCTATATTACCAGCTTTTGATTGTTTGGTTCAGAGTTCCTTTGCTATCACTTTCCTTTATTATTCATTCGTTGCCTTTTTTTTTTTTTTTTTTTTT